TGCTCTTTGTACAGACTGTGAAAAACAAATTTCCTCCACTGAGGACAATAAAGAATTAATCTGAATCTGAGGAGAAGAGAGGAGATGTTTCATCCAGTGTGTCTCCTTCCTCCCTCCACCTTTCTGTAAGGCCTGCCTGTAGCAGTTTCTTGGCTTCAACTGGACAGATTTACATCCCCCTCCTGCTAACAAACATCTTGGGCACAGCACACTTCAGCTGATGCCTACTACAGAGAATTTCCCCTCCAATCCTGCAGGGGTCAGCCTTGTATCAGAGGGATGATTGGAGGAGTGACTCTATCCTGTTGCTCCTCTGCTCCCTTTGATTGCTAGTGCAGTCAACTACAGTTATTTCACTATATTCACTGTCCTTTTTACCAACAAATGTTTCTTCTTCTTCCCTCTCCCTACATCAGAGGCAGGAGGTGACATGAGCAGGGGACATAGTCGTGAGTAGACTGCCGCAGACAGCCCTCCAGCCTCAACCTCGCCGAGGCCCAGAGCTGGGTTCAGGCAGGGAGGCCTGTGACGGGGGCACGAGGCCGGGCATGAGTCAGAGGGAGTGAGTGGCGTCCTGTTACTGAAGCTGTCTGTCAAGAGCGAGACAGCACAGTGCTCTTCTCAGGGCATCTACAGTGTGTTTGACCTTTGTGTCTGACGTTTTATCACAGAGATATACAGTAATACTGACACGCATAGTTCTCTTTCTTTACATTCATGGAGTATGAAAAAACAACAAACAAACATTGTTGCTGTCATTTATTTGTGTGGTAAGTGTGTGAGAGTTTGTTGTTGGATGGAGTAGTGATGGAGATGAAGAATATGGGAAGAAGATGTTTGTTTGGGGTGATGCAGATTTGTGTGTGTGTGTTTGTGTGTGAAGAAGCAGGACTTGGGGGCTGCCATTATGTGAGCACATTAACTTCACTAAAGTGCACAGAAGCTGGGTGGAGTGGATTAATACGCTCTGCTGATACTGCAGAACCAACAGCCATCAAAGACCCAATAGGAAAAACCAATTAAGATGTGAACTCTGGTGTGGTGCCCTTATTGATCTATTAGTGATCAAAACTAATGTGCCACAATTGCACATATTAAAGGATAGGCCTGATGCTTTTCTATAACACAGGGTCAGAAAGTCAGAAACTATTAAGAGTTGGACTAACACATGCCGGTTTGGCTCTTTTAATGCGATTTGGTGACAATATCAAATATTTTCTGAATATCAGCTGGCTTATCCTTTAAGATATGTTCATGTATTGTTATGTTTAAAGTTAATTCTCCATGCTTGTATTTGAACAATTTCAGATTTCAGTTTTCTTTACAGTAGTACTGAGGCATATAGGCATTATACACACCCACACACAAATGTGCCATGCAGTACAGAGGCAGTCAGGGTGACGGATCGCACGCTTGGTTCAATTACATTAGAATGATGGAGTTGGTTATGTGCTGGAAAAAGAGCCCCAGACTTACAGCCTGAAAGATAGTGGAGCAAGATGGGAGAAGAGTTATGACCAGACTGAGCGACGGGGAGAGAAAGGGAAAGAGGAGTTATAGCTACAACTGGAAGAAGAAAAAGGGGCAGAGCTCAGCCTGCATCCAAAATAATCTACTGGTGTGAAAAACTTTTACTTGTCATTATTTAGTTCAAAGAGAAACTAAAAGATTGTGAGGAAATGGGTGTGAAGCAAAGGTGAGTGACACCTCTGATGGCAGGGGTGGCCCCTCAGGTTGAGGATCAGATCAGCTGTCTGGCAGTTGACAGCTGACACTGCATACATCCTTATTAAAAAATAAGGATTTTTCACGGCTGGCCCACACACTCTACACACACACACACACACACACACATACATCGAGCACACCGTCACAAAGGAAGAGAACATCCGTGCAGACGAGTATGACACATACCCATGTACTGCACGCACATACATACAGCACAAGACCTCAAAATATCATGTGTCCGTGACACACACAATTGTAGAAGCTCTCACACACACACACACACACACATGCACGTGGGTATACACAAGCGCCTGTGAAAGCTGACACCGTTTGGAGCAGTGAGGGAGGAAAGTCACATTAATGATTCTGATCGCCAGGCTTTACCAAGGCGGTTATCTGCGAACACGATCCAGCAGGGCCATTTAGACAGCAAGTCCTTGACAGAGGGAGCAGGCAGGCCGGTCAGAAAGCGCCACTGATCAAATAGGCCCATTTTCCTCCAGGCTGCTCTGCACTCGACGGAGAGTTCCTTCAATAATGATATATCAGATTGAAGATAGACATCCATGTCTGACCAAAACTGCTCTGAAATGAAAAGCTGAGCAAAGGGCTGTCAGAGTCAAAGTGGTAATTTTTTCACAATTAGCATATTATCCAGTCACTCTGTCCAATGATTTAGCTGTTATGACAATTTAGTTTTCTTTATTATCTCAGTACGGCAATGTCAGTATGTCTGTCTGTCCTCCTCCAGACTGAAATATCAAAAACAACTATTGGATGGGTTGTCATGAAATTTAGTACAGACCTTCAACATTTCCCTGAGAGAATAAATCCTACGGACTTTGGTGATCTGAATATACTGACAGTGGATCCAGACTATTCCTCTATTGCCACCATGGGGTTGATGTTTTAGTTTTTTTGTGAAATATCTCAACATCTATTAGATGGATCACCTTAAAATATGGTGCAGATATTCATGTTCTCCTCACAATGATTTGTAATAACTAACTGATCCTCTGATATTCCCATCAGCCTTAGCTATACATTGTGTTTTGGGGTAATTAGCCTACTCAATGTTAGCATACTAATATGCTGAACATGGTAAACATTACATCTGCTAAATTATCAGCATGTTTTTTTGGTATTGTAATTAATTAGCATTTAGGTCAAAGAACCGTTGGCTGTAGACTCTTAGACTAAAATGTTTTTAGGTTACAAATTTAATATTATTAGCTTACTCTGTTGGTTTATGATTAACAGGCCCAGAATCCTACATTGGACAATAACTTTTTCTGCATGTGAAACCATAATATGAAGCCAAGCATCACAGTTTGCATGTCAGTAAGTTGTGACAAGCAAACTGAGTCTTCACTTGAAGACTTATTTTCCCTTCTCAGATTGTAACAATGAACCACAATTAAACTTCATTGTGTGGCAGAACGTTTTTATTATTTCCTACCCTGATAATGATGAAATAACCCCTTGAAATCAACAACTTATATGAGTCCAGACCCCAGGTAAACTACTACTTTAAAGGTGGGGAAATACGCAATCTCATTCCTGTACACTAAATATGAAGCTAGAGCTTAGCACAAATACTAGAGACTGAGGTAAACCACTAGCAAAAATCAAGTTATATAACCTCCTTAAGAAACATCAAATTGTCCTTTTTATACTTTTGTTTTTGTAGCCTACCGATTAAAGCTGTAGTATATGAAAAAGTTGTTTTTATAGACGTTACCTACTGCAGCTTTAAATAAATTAATTTATAACCAGGTTCAGCAACAAAGACTGTGCCTCAAATGCATCACATTTCAACACAAAAAGTATTTAAGCACACCTTATCCGTTCACTCCTGCTTTGACTCAGTCTTCACATCCCTTCACCCCAAACCCTTTCTTTTTCTTTTTTTTTCTTTCTCCCCTTCCCCTTTCGCCGTTGTTCAAATACAGGATCCACTGAGCTCTAACTTCTTACAGCAAAGAAGAGACGGCTTCCCCTCTCTGATTCTCAACTCTCACATGGTCATCTCCAAACTCCTCCATCCATCCATCCGTCCACCACCCTGATTCCCCCTTCATCCCTCAACCCTCTCCCCATCACTTCATCCCTCATTCATTCATCTTTATCGATTATACGCAATAAACCATTCTAATTCCATATCCTCATTTTGTTAGAGAAACATGTTAATTGGTCAGCTTTGGAGGTGCTCTTCATGCTTAGCTAACTGGCTACTGGCTGTGGATTCATATTTACCATTCAAACGAGAGTGGTATCCATCTTCTCCTCTAATGCTTGGCAAGAAAGCCAAGAAATGTATTCCCCAAAACTATTCATTTAAATCTCCATTTCATAACATCTGGGGATGGCTCAGTGGTTTTAATGACATTGCTACTGAAAGACGAATGACCTCTATTTGACCCTTTGAAGGAATCAGGCTTGAAATGCATCTGCTGGTATACTATATGCAAAATGTGCTGCTGGTAATAAATGATCAGTAATTGTACTAATGTTTGAACCTCTATACTTATTACTTTAATTATACCTAATCATTCCTATAGCCATTTATTCATATTTCTGACATGCATAGCAACATGGCATGGCAAATCTATGGTTGGTATGGCAACTATAACTTGACATTACAATACAATATATCTTAATTGAACCATTAACTGCTTTTGTTAATTGTAAGACAGCAGGGAGACACTGCAGCCAGTCAAAGTCCTGTCAGCCTCCTTCCAAGTCTATCTGATGTTCAGACAAAAAAGTGACGCACATAAAAGTGGACAGCTGAACCTGTGACCCCTCTTCCTTCCCAAATTAAAATTTGAGTATAGCAAAAAATTAATAACTGAGAGCACACACAATCCAATTTGAATGCATTGTGTTGTCGACAAGCCGCTGGGGGACAGAATGAGCAGAAATTAGCCACTGGACCACACGAGATAAGGCCTGTTAAATCTGTGCATGGCTAAGAGGATGCTGCTTTCAGTCAAGATTATGATTGACTTGTTTTTATACACACACACACACACACACACACACACACACACACACACGGAGAGAGAGAGAGAGAAAGAACACCTATTCCTTGTCCTTATCTTTATTTATTTTGAATGTCTCTGGCCGGACGGGGCTCGTACTCTGGAGTCTTCTTTCTCAAGAGAGCGAAACCTGGTGACGTCACCCTTGCAAACCCTCAATGCCAATTCACAACACAACCCCACACAAACACAACACACAACACTACTGTGTGCGCGTGTGTGTGTTGCGCGCGGAGCGCAGTGTGTGCGCATGGAGACGCGGGAGAGGGAGAGCGCGCAGAGAGTACACTACAGCGCAGCGGAGAGCCACAGTCACACAGAGCAGCGAGAGCGCAGTGGAAGGACGCACTTTCCATCGCGCTCCTGGTCAAAACAGAGCTGGCTGCTGAGAGTGGTGTGCCACCAGACCACAGACCCACACACACACACACAGACAGAAGACAACACACAACATGATTTCGGGAGTCTACGTCCAGGATTGAAAGATTTTGCGCAAAGGCATGGCATTTGTTTGGAATAGTAAAATAAACAATGCACTCTGCTGGCGACAACTACATTCACGAAGATGATTCACCGAGGGGTGATGGACAACATTCAGTGCTTCTTGTGGTCTTCTCACGCGGGACAAAGTCCGGTAGCTGCACGATTCTCACCCACAGAGCGATAGCGTCTTCTCGTACCTTCGGAATATTGTGTCTGTGGCACATGCGTGGCGCGCCAGAGTGCGTGTGAGTGACTGACCGATAGTCTTTCTGAGAAAGAAAGAGAGGCTGGATATAAACAGCAGCCAGGCTTTCAGGCAGCGACAGCCAGGCACTCAGAGCAGCCATCTCGCCTCTCTCTCAGCTCCTCAGACCCATGCAGGATGCCCGGAGAGCGCCGGGGAGTCCTGGTCCAGCTCAGCCCGAGTTCATGACGCTCTGGGCGGCCTCGTCATGCGTCTCTTGCCCGAGCCCAGCGCCCAGTCCCTCCGGCTCCTGTTCCTCTTTATCTTCGTGATGGGGGTGACCCCTTCCCCGGCTCTCACAGCCGGCTGCCCAGACAGATGCGTGTGCGACGACCAGTTGGTGGTCCAGTGCGCCGGGCAGGAGCTCACCCAGTTCCCCAATGACCTGCCCCTGGCAACCCGGCAGCTCATCATCTCCAACAACCGCATCGTGGACCTTCCGGCGTTGCAGCTCAACTACCTGTCCGATCTGGTCTATCTGGACTGCAGCAACAACTCTCTGACCGAGATCTCAGAGTCCACCTTCGGGAATTTGCGGAAACTCGCCTACCTGGACTTGTCGTTCAACACCCTGCTGCAGATCGAGGACCGGACTTTCGGGCCACTGGCGTCTCTGGTGATGCTCCGGCTGACGGATAATCCGAGTCTGGGGGAGATCCACCCGGACGCCTTCTCGGAGAACATGGCTCTGCAGGTGCTGGATGTGAGCCGGAACAACCTGACGGCCCTCAACATCAGCAGCCTGATCGCCCTGCCCGCTCTGAGATCTCTGGGGCTCAGCGGCAACCCCTGGAGCTGCGACTGTGACACGGAGGACCTCTGCCTGTGGGTGCAGATAGAGGGCTTCAAGTTCCAAGGTGAGGATGGATGGAGTCAGAAAGATGTTCAACACATAGTTTTCAATCCCAACAAGTACACACACGAACATTTAGGATGATCTAAACCGTTAAAAAAGGGGGGGATTCCCCTTTTAAATGACCATTAAAGCCTTTTTATGGCAGTGGCAACTCCCAATAATAATAAAAATTGAAATGTCCTGCCTGCGTCGTTTGCCAGAAATGAGCCTGTAAGCTCTCTGCCGTGTTCCTGTTCAGGTGGCAGCAGTCAGACCTCTTGCAGGTGGTCTCTTGTTTGTTTGGCTCCAGAAGCGGGATCCTCTTGCTGGCCAGTTTCCTGGCAAGTAAATAAACCGTTCCCCTGCTGAAACTATGAGCCAAAGACTCTCCAAGGTCTTATCATTTGTTATTGTCACATCAGTTAATTTAGATAATTTGATTGTGGGCGCTTGGTCAATTTAGTCCCTGATGGTGGGCTACTTATTGCATTACTGCTCTCCCTTTATTTTGTGGATATGTATGCACACACACTTCCATGTGCAGTCATGTGCGCAGATGCAAACGCTATCTCTCTCTCTAAGGCACACTCAAACTTCAGAGCTAATGGTTTGACCTCAGAGTCAGAGCAATCTGAAGATTTGGTCCCCCTGCTCCTCTCAGCAACACAATCCCCTCAAACTGCCCTTCACGTCTCAATAATGTCTCGAGTTTACCCCAACAAATCAGCAGGTTTGTGCTACAGTTACTTAGAGACAGCGGGGAATTGAATAAGAGCGACCCAAGAAATCAATAGTGGCCCTTGCGACCTTCTCAGTGAGGGCAAGCTCCGGTGATCTCTGCTCACACCTTTTAATTGAGCTTAGCTCTAAGCAGGTGAACCAGGTTTGGGCTTGTAACAATGTGGCCTTGCTTATAATAGCTGTCAGTGTAGATCCCATTGATCTTATTAAACTGTCTTCCTGTGTCCTGAAGGCAGAGATAATGACGAGAGGATGATTGTGTCCTTTTGTACCTGTTTTTTTCTGGCTAGCCCCTCTGCACACGCCACAACACACACATCACACAACACACCACACCACACACACACACACAGCATGCACCTGGCTGTGCTGGTGCTCCCACCGTCGTATGCTTTGGCCCCTTCAGTCCAGATGGTTAATGATGGTGCTCAAAAAAGCTGGACTCCTATGCTCCCATTAAGGACAGCGTGTATATGTGTGGTGTTTGTGTGCAAGTGACTCACTCCACTTAAGTGTGTGTGAGTCAGTGTGTGATCTGGGGATTAGGGGAGACCCTAAAGCCGGTGTCTGTGGGAAACAGGAATAAGACTAAGGGACAAGGAGCCTGAGAGGAAGGCCACTTGAAGACAGCAGCTCCCCAAAGTTGTTATCCACCTTCGGTTACACACCACGCTGAAGTACACTCAAAAACTGGCACACACAGGCACACACACTCATTTCACGCGTGGCTCGCCCCACCTTGACCTCATACATGACTCTGTTTAATTGGTTTACACTGTAGCTGTTTAATTGCGTAATATCCTGGAGTTCTATTCAGAGCGGCCAACCATCCCCACCTGCTTGCGTTCAGCAGGCCGGCCTGGAGGGAGAGTCGCAGCGGTGCTGTTCCGCTGAGGTGGGACCTCACTTAACATGAGTAAGTATTGTCACCGGGGCTAGTCGCGCGATTGTGTTATTAAACTTTTTGAAGTGTGGCGTGGAGAGTAGACGCACACCACAACTTGTAGTAATAGTTTATTGCAGTCTGGGTATGTTTGCCGGTCTAACTCAGGTAGGTGATGGCTATGGGGGCCTGAAAACAGACCTCGTTTCAGCGTTGGCCATGTTGCGCCAACAGCCAGAGCTGTGGGTGTGTTGTGTTGTGTCACTTACGTTACTGAAAAGCCGCTTCTCGTCTTTTTTGCCAAATGTTGGCTGTGGCGAGATAAAA